AGTACCACCACATTACATATACAGAGATGTGTATTTCATACAAAAAAGTAACTTCCAGGCACAAACTGGATAAAAAACCCTTTGGAAACACCTACTTCTATGAAAATATTGAAAATCGGCTACTTGTCAGCAATCCCCTTTGCATGACAAACAATGCAAAAAATTCAAATGGAAATATTGTTCGATTCATTGTAAGCATCTTTCAGTTTTTTATGAAAGCCTGTAAAACTTTTGACGTTATAATAACACACAAAGTCAGAAAAAATTGAATAATCTTCAATATTGTATTCAATTCAGAACTAAACCAATGATCACTTATGGTGCAATTGCCTGGTGGTCGAAGGCTTTACAGAAAACGGCCCAGGCGAAGCTGTCTGGCCATCAGTGGTGCCATTAGTACCACACCGACAGCGGCTATGGAGATCCTTCTACCTCCTCTCAACATTTTTCTGGAGAGAAAGGCTAGATAGACTGCATATAGACTTGTGCAGATTGCTAATTGCACAAATCAATTTGATGCAAAGTGCAACATACTGTTGGTTGACACTGGAAGTCACAGCATTCTGGAAATAACCTCTGACCAAGGACCGTTATATAACATAGGATAACTGGATGACTACAGATTTTCGCCAGTCGAGTAGCGCTCGGTGACTGTGCCATTAGAGGTGCTATTACATGCGTCTTCTTAAGGTAACTCGACAAAAACCTTAGCTTGTTCCAAAACTCTAGCGACCATATACTCCTCAGGAACCGTTTCTTTTTCACGCACGACAACGTTGCTGGTATAGGGATCTGGCTATCCTATGTTATATAACGGTCCTTGCCTCTGACTTTATGCCTCCAACTGTCAACTACGGACTGCTTTATAAAGTACTGTTCCCGAGAAGAGAGGACTGGATCCTTCGAGAGAAGAAAATATTAAGAGTAGATAGTTGTTGGTTCGCAGAAGGATCGAAAACACCTGCCGGTTCTGGTGCAGGTGTTTTCAGTCGCAGACCCAGGACAGAGATATCAGCCTGCCTAGGAACATATGCGACTGTATTCCAAGCGGAAATTTACGCTATTGAATTGTGTGTGGAGAAATTGAAAGAATCTAACCTCATCAAGCGGCGTTGGAAGCTCTTGACTCCTACCTAGCAACGTCTAAATTGGTAGCAAATTGTCAAGAACGACTCTCCTCGATATGAAAGTCTCTGGTTTGGATTCCTGGCCATACTGGCCTGGAAGGCAATGAGGCTGCTGGCTCCCTTGCAAAGGAGGGCGCTACAAGCAGTTTCATCGAACCAGTACCTCTCATTGGCATCGCTTTAGGCTTTGCAAACAAAGATTGAACACCTGGATGGCAAGAAGATTTATGGACTTCTGGCAGAACCTTTCAGGATTGGCTCACTCCAAGGCGTTTATTCTCCCTTCGAAGCTTGATACTAAACAGTTGTTGGACTACAGTAGGGATGAACTACGATGTCTGACAGGCCTTCTTACCGGTCACTGTCATTTGAATCATCATATGCAGAGACCCAGACTGTCGGAAAGGAGTGTGTGTCGCCTCTGTTTGGAAAATGATGAAACAGCAGAACACATACTCTGTGTACTGCTGCCACTCACCATAAAAACAAATCGGCTTCGTTGAGAATCTGGATTTATTTGGTCGAGTGTGAATAGGCGTGAGCCACAATAAATCCTTGCGGGTTGCGTTGGAGGGTCGAATAGACCCACTCACTTTGTACCTTACCTAATCCTAACCTAAAACTAGAAAATGGAACTGAACATAAAATTTCACTGTATCATATATAGAGCATAGTAATAATCATCTACAGTTGGCTGCAGTTGGCTGCATCTCGTATTTTCTTTATTTCAACCATATTCATGAAAACCTACAGTGAATAGGGGATCTAACTGGATAGCGTTCTTTGATTATACACCAAATTCAAATATTTTTCTTAGGTTTGTTGAAAAAAAAATAGTTACCTGAAAATCCTGCCCAAATACTCAGCTTTTGAGTATATTGAATGTGAAATTGGCATGCCTGATTGAGAATTGAATCACGCCAGTGTCCATAACGAAGCGGTTGACGCCTCCCAACAGGATCTCACGTAATTCAACTCTTTTATCGATCATTTTCGAAAAATGCATGAGTCATTTTCATTGTGAATAAGCCAGGTTTGTGTATTCTGGTAATGTTTGTATGACTCATTCCAAATGCTTGAAACAACTTAATAGAAAATGCGTTTTTCCTATCAAGGTAGCTGATGGCCTAGAACTACGATATCGATGCCTTCGTAAGTGACTATTCCTGAACGGTCATGTTGGCCATTATTGACATTTTCCACTATTATATAATAATTCCAAAACATATATACAGGGTGTAACATAATTACGTTAAAATAGTGACGTATGCCTAAGGCAATTTTAAAAAAAGTCTATATAAACTTGTGTCTGGAAACGCTTCGTTTCGGATATACAGGGTGTGGATATTGGATTTTTTATTCGTTTTTAAAAAATAACTTTTACAAAAAATCATAATTTGGTTTTAATTTTCATGTAACGCCCAGAAGGCTGCGTACGCTATCATAATTTATTTCAAATTGCCCTAAATTTTTTGAAAGTGAACTTTTGGTATCTTTCATAAAAAAACCTGATTTTCACACCTATTGCAAGTAAAAAAGGTATATATCCTCAACAAAGCTGGTAGTGATTAAAAACTCTAATAATAGACAGTCACTATTTACGAATGATTTTCACACAAACAACAACATAAACCTAAGAATACGAATTTTGTTTTCTTCAACCGTGACTTTAGCCGTGAAAGCTCATGTTCTTGTAGAAGTCAATGAGTTCAAAATTGTTGCGTTGGAATCATAAATGAGATTAGAAAATATGACCAGAGTAAGATACAAACTCAAAGAATAAGGGTGGTTGAAAATGAAAAGTCGGCTTTATGTATTATCTCTCTGCCTAAACAGCCCTTCTACTTAGCGTAGAAAATAAAATATAAAACAATGTACATGATCCCAGTATGAGATTCAATGTATCACTCACATATCCTCCCCACAGAATGAAGTTCTTTGAAAGAGATTTCAAATTTGAAATCTACAAATTGTATAATACCTTATTGTCTCACTAAGAAGAACATAACTCACTGAGATTCAAACATGCGTCACATTTCTAAAATGAATATTTCACAAAAGAGTCGTTTTCTAAAAACATAATGTCTTTTTTGTATCTATTTCAACTTGAAATGAGTACTCCATTTTGGTTTTTTTGTTACGAATAAGTGTAGTGGAGATAGAATTCAGTTTAGAAAGTTATTTTACGAAAATGACAAGGGTTTTGTGGAAGAGCATTATTGAGGTTTCCAACTCATTATGAATATTATGAATACATTGACTCATTACTTGATTAAATACATAACGCTATCCATAACAATGAAACAATTTTCATACTATTAACTTTACTGAAGCGAATTTAACTACTGTTTCCACAATTGAACTCAAGCAGATACTCTGTTGATGATACCAAAATTGTTTCATTATCATGAATAGTATTGTGTTTATAATGATATGTTGTGAATTCCTACGGAACTAAAGTTATTCATTATTATTATCATAAACTCAATTGTTATGACGTTCCCATACTATTATTATATAATCAACGAACATTGCCTATTACAACAATAATCTACTGAAAATTGAAAATGAAGTTATTTGAAATCGATGTGATCGAACTCGTTTTGTTCCAAAATCATACGACCATCTTTCTCAACGCCATTTTCGAATTGATTGAAGAAGTGAATATGAACAAGAAGTTTTTATTCGAAAGGTAATTTCAGACCTTAAGCCCTTCTGAATGAAGTCATACTCGACCCCTCTTTCCATTGAAAATTCACGGGTTGATGCTTCATTGTTAAACTTTACTAAGATTCGAAAAGTATTTGGTGTTTAAAGAAAATATCAGCACATTAGTACTCTTGAACTTACAAATACTTAAGATAAAAACATAATGTTTGTTAGCTACAATAATTCTCCCACCTGAAAGCTCTATCAGCAACATTCTGCAACTGGTTATTGGTTAAAATGAGAGCTTGTACTTGACATCCAGCTAAACTTTCGGCTTCCAAAATAGCGGTTTCTGTACCTACTATCTCCAACTGAGCGATGTTATTTTCTGGTAAATCTGCAAAAAGAAATACATAGTTCAATTGATCATGAGAAACAATGGTATATTGAGTTTTGTACAAAATCACAAATATTGATATGAGTTCTTCAGTAAGTGGCACAGGTAATTAATTAATGACTCTATAAAAGATGATCATAAATAGGAAACCAAAAAAAAATTATCATTTTCTTACACTTTTTTCTACCAATATTTTTTTCTCGGCTTTTCAAATGAACGAAACTCGCTGAGATTTTGATCCAATAACTTAAACATAGTTCGATGTGGTTGTCGTCTTTCGGGATACAAGTATAAATACATTTCCGCTGTATTTGTAATACATTTGTATCATATCCCTCTTTTCTTCATTCGTGAAAGCCATTTTTTGCCAAAGATTCAATGACTTGTACAATAACAAAATGTCACTGAGTGTAACAAATTGAAAGTCAAATCTAGAAACATCAAAGTCAAGAAGATTTTTTTTTTCGATATCTGGTTCCATCCAAAACAGAAAGGATACAATGTAGCGCCCATAAGAAAGAATAAAGTTGATGATGGTGACTAGAAGACGAAACGTCGGATAGCAAATCTGAAAACTTTTATGTAGCAGCGAAAAAGTGGCAGGATGGAAGTGCAATTTATTTTCGAATCCTTCGAAAATTAAAAGGCAGGTAAAATTAAAAACCATTTTCCGAAATTTCTGTTTTTTTTGTTATCTCCGGATATACCCAGAGTTTCAGAACTTTTCCAACGGCATATTGTTAGCCAGGTCAATACGCAACTTTGCTCCAATTCAACCATCTTCGTATCTCTCATAGTTTCCGAGATCCCAATGGTGAGACTCGAATTTGAAACACCCTGTATGTTAAAAACAATTCATATATCAATCTAATGAAAATAAGATTTCTTGGCCAGAACTGTCCCTTGCATCTTTTGCTAACCAAGTAAGCATCATCAGGAAATGAATACTACTAAATCTTACTATTGAGTGAGCTTTTCATATAAGTGATTGGCTCTAACAAAAGGTTCCAACTCAGTTATGAGGTTTATGCTTTGACGAACTGACATACTGTAATTACCATGGATCATGTTCAAATATATTCACATGTATAGTAACTCAAAACCCGATTTTTTGACTGAAATCCTTCCGAACAAAGTGTGTTTGCGATGTAACCAGTTAAACAAAAAGAGTATTCTCAAATTTTGAATGAAATGGTGGACGTGTTTATTGGACATCACTGTGTAACTGTGACACACTTGGTAAAACCTCAGTTAGAGTTGAATGACACGATAGTATAATTAACATCAAGCTAACAATCATCGAAATACTTTTTCTCAAAAAAAATGGCTTTCAAAGAGTAAATACATATATTTCACAATCTCAGGAAAGAAAAAAGTGAACATTTTAACAAATTCCTGTTGAGAGTAAGACATCAAGCTACAAATCGCAGGTTGAAAAGTGATACTCCGTCAATCCTTAGCTCGTACAAGTTTCGACTTCAGAGGGTTGTCGTTTGTAAGAAGGCAACAGCTGGTTATCAGAAAAAGACAATTTTCTGAGCATTACAATGTCCATTGGAGGATGATATGAGGAAAGCAACAGATATCAGTTAAAGACATAAATGATTATTGATAGTTCAGCTACAACAAATTTGAAGAAACTACTTAACGAATTAACGAATTTTGCCAGATAAATGCACAAATTAATATTTCGTCATTAGTTCCTTAAATTGGCCAAGGAGTTCTAAGAAAAAAGAATAAGCTACACATGAAGAAGATAGTTTTGTGAATAGCAAAACAATATAAATCGAATGTACTAGGCACGGAGAAACAGACAAAATGATTGAAAATGAATAGAAATGAGAGATTTTGAAAGAGAAGAAAATTCACAATGAAAATCAAAACTGCTACCCGAGTTTTCATACAGTTTTCACATATGAATTTTTTTGACATTTTCTATAAATTTTCATGAAGGACGATGTCTGAGCCCTTCGAAACAACCAAACAATTACCTACATATTTTTTATCTTTCATCAGTCTAGAGATGAGCCTGCCATATAATTATTCTTTGAGAAAAGCTAATTATAATGAAAAAAATTAATAGTCACAAAGGATCTGATGACTAAAAAATTATTTAGACGTATAAGATATCAATCAAACAAACTAATTACCTGAAGTAATTCGTGCACATTTCAATTGCCCTTCAGTTGGAATTGCTTTGTTTTTTGATTTTCAATATGAAAAGTTCACAAAACCACAAAACGTGTTTCGCTATGTAATAGTAATCCTGCTTGAGAGCTATTTGTAGCCAAACACGTGGCATGGTTTACCCTATAAAATGCTACCTACTCAGGAGCTCATGAAAGACGATAGAGGAACTTATTTTAGTGAACAAATAATGGACATGTTGGATAACAATATCATCCAATTAGGAGACGTTATGTTTTCTGATGAGTGTACTTTGTCTCTTAACGGTTATGATAATCGGCAAAGTTGCCGCTACTGGTTAACGGAAAAGCCTCACTGAATGCAATCCCCTTTGCATNAAATAAAAGCCATTTGAATCAGTGCATTCTTGTCAATGCAACACAAGTTGATTATTTTCGTCAAATTGGCAACTGGGAAGTCGACGAAAATCATTTTTACATAGTTCTGATTGGCAAAGATTCTACCGGTGTGAAAGATATCAAAGGGCTTGAAGTAATGATAGTGAGTTGAAAAAAGATCTTCGAATTATATAGGGTGAGGCAAAAGTTCGACGCTCAATTCGTTTGATTATCGGACGGTGATTTGTCAAACGTGCGGACGGGTGTTGTCGTGGAGCAGGATCGGACTTCTTCTGTTGGCCAGTGGCGGCTGCTGCTGACGCAATTCCCGTTGCATTTCATCGATTTCCTCACAATCGGACTGTGCTGTGATGGTTTTTCCCAGTTGCAAAAAGTTTGGTGGATTTTTGCCTTTGAAACATGACTAGGTGCGTCATTGGTGTCGTGTTCATCGCACGTAACGATCTGATTAAAAGAAGGATCGTTTTGGTTGCGCAAAAGCAAAAGAAGACGGGACCTCAAAACGTGAGGATTTTTGTCGATCGTTTAAATCATGGAGTACCCACTTTTCGAGCTTTTTGACTTTTCCGCCATTTAACACACTATTTGTGATGGGTCAGTTTCCGTCAGAGTCCTCGAATCCTCGTTCTGGAATACTGTAGGTTGACCACGTCGAGGCTCATTTTTGAGGCTGAACTGTCCTGACATTCCTGAACGGAGTTTGGTCAACGTCAAACAGTGCGTTTGATGATTCGAATTCATATAGAAAAATCGTTTAAAATTCGCCTAACAACATCATATAGTAATAAGCTGAAAAGAGTCAAAAAATCATAATTTGGAAAAAATTAGCAGCATCAATGTATAGGGTACAAAATTGTCTATCGATCAGTATATACCACGACACAGTAGAATAAATACTCATTGAGATATGGAGCTACAAAAATATATGACATTGAAACGGACAAAACGTTTGAAACAACCTGATAATCTAATAACAAGCACGGCTTCTGCATATACACAGATGGTGATTAGTGTGATGAATAACTTCATAACTGAAATTGATCATGATAAAAAATCTACTGTTCTGTCTCGGAATCTGTAAGAAGTATTCCGTGTCGTTCATAACATTTTACTGCTGAAATTACATATTTTCGAAACATTGATAGTCGACTTCATAGTCACTTGTTTTTGATATTCTTTTTTATCTTCCTCTTGAAGATGATCACTTGGTGATCGAAACACGTGTCGCGGTGTTAAACTAACGGGTTGGTATTGGAAAAAAACTCCAATAATATTCGATATTCATCTCTATGAATTACCTACGATATAAAAAAAAAATTCAGAAAAATTATTTTTCCAAACAAATACTCTTCATATTTTTTTGAATAAATCATCAACTATTCACAACTGAATAGATTACTTGAGTTGGTTCATCATTCTTCGAACAAGCAATCATGTTAACAATATTGAAACAGAAATTATATATACTTACTCGGAAATTTATAAAACGGTACTGAGATGCAACTGACGCTGTGAATAGATTTTGTGTTCGAATCATGCTGATCCGGTGAACAGACACACATTGAGTTGAATCCGCAGTTGTTTGATGTAAGGCCATGACACCGAAACAGGAGGACCATGAGTATATTCAAAATCAAAAGCATCGTATCTGAAAATAAAGAATCCTTGTCAAGATCGTGATCTTTCCAACGAATGATGATGATTTTTCTTCACGAAATGAACACGAATACTAGAAAATATCTCTAATTGAAATTGCAGAATTTGAACGTGCGAATTAGACCACTCCAGTATAAGTTTTAATGAACTTCCAGGAGCATATGTATGTGATCCGGCGTCTGTTGCACACGCATTTGGAGGAAGACACTCGGGTTTCATCTGAATCATAGTTAGTTACTTGATTTCAATGAAAAAACTGAGAGCAGGGCCGGGGGCGGAGGGAAAATCAAATTTATCCAACCCCACCAGCAAAATTTCCCGACTTTCGAAAAAATGATAGTCGAGGGATTAGTTACTGCTATAATATATTAATTTTTTCACTTAGCTATCCAAAGATTGCCTGAATGCTGATGCCTGTTAGGGTATGCACAAACAAAAATATATTTTGGTAATTATAAAAATGATAATGGGAATTATTCTACTTTGGACCAAGGTCCTTGGTCTTCCACCATTAATGTGTTTATGGAATGTGAATTTAGGGACTTCATAACATGTTACTTGAAAATGATCTAATAAACTGAAACCGATTTTAACAAATAATAAACTTAGTTGATATTGGATGAAAGTTATTTTATTTACTCTATGATTTCATAACACTTCATATCACTCCAATTAACGTCTCAGTATATTGCCAAAATCCGTTTTTTATATTTTGCAAACAGAATTTATATGATCAATAATACACTCAAATTAGTGAATTACTTCTGTTTGAAATGGTTGATGAATATACTACAATAGTTTACATCACAAAGTTTTCTATTCTAAAGTATTGATATTGATAAAAACGAATTCTGACATGTTGTAGTGTTTACTAATGTATTCTTTATTGAAACAACGATGAAAATTAAAACAACAATAAAAATTAATTGGCGCTCCGGGACGACTTCATTGATTCCAGTGGCGCATTTGCTTTTTCAGCTGCAGGAAAACCCCGAAAAACCTGCAGCACCACATCATCTGAAGATCTTGATCTACCAATGTCCTCTCTCTTATGAAACAAAATGTAGGGTGTCTCCAGAGGCTCCAATAAATTCAATGCATCGCCAGAACACTTCGTGATACGCTATCGTCAAACTTAAACCAGTCCGTTTCGTCTTTGACCAAGGAGTAATAATGACCAAATGCAACGCCAGAACTCAGTGAACAATGACTGCATGAACATTATAATAGTGGTCTGCTAGATTGAAATGTTCATATATTTCGAACCTTCCAAAAACGAGTTAAAGGTTTAACTTGAACGAAAATTATTACCGAAATCAAACATGCAATCCTCAAAACCAGTTTGTGGATTTTTTCATTATTTTATATCCATGATGATAATTAAACAATTTTCACAAATATTTTTAATTTCTAGACGCGTTTCGCTACCACCGTAGCTTCTTTGGTAGCATACGATTGTTCATCGTATCGGAAGGACGTCAGAAAAGGATTTCCTTCTCAACATCCAAATGAAACTTTTTTTTCATGCAAGAAAAACCTTGTTCAGTCAGAAATATCGATATTAATTGGTTACTACCTCTTCATCAATACTCATCGCCTTCGAGAAAAATCAACTTTCGTAAGTGGTTTTTCAAAAAAAATTTAGAATCAATCGTAAGATACTAGTCTGTAGTTGCTTTTGATTCCTTCGTTAATATAATATATAACTCATCAAAAGTAACAACAAAACATTGTATTTGTGCTATTTCGAAATCTTTGTGACATCTGTTCAATAACTTTTTGCCAAAAATATTTTTCCCAACGGATAATAATAATGATAATTTTCTTTATTTTTGATGAAATAGGATATAACAACCAGAAGATGAAGTTCAAAACTGCAGTGTAGAACACTACAGGTTTGTTCAACCACTCAACCTGTAGCCCTCAACTCAAAAACAGTTGAAAAAGCTATTCCACGAATATAAACCAAGTGTACCATAGGGATCAAACCTTTGGTTTTTTCTACAAACTATATCACACTAATAAACACACAGAGTGTTGAACTCTGTTGAAGATGTATAAGAAAACAAATAAGCTATTTTCAAACTTTTGAAAAAGTTCATAACGTTTCAGTTGTTCGGCAAGCAGGTCCACCATGCGTCAATTTGATACATGAGTCTACTTCATCTAGGAATGGAACTGGTTTGTCATTTTTTTTACCCCGGTAATTACTTCAAATGATGTAGATGGGTTCTATCAACTTCGTTAGATGAAAAAGATGTCGGCTCTGAGTCCCAGAGGAATTAGACTGTCAACATGAGAATCAAAAATCTGTTGCAAATGAGTTTATTCAGCGATGTATAATGAGCATTTATTCACTCATTAGTCCATTTGAAACAAATTTAAATACTATTAGTCGATTATTAAACCGCACTGAACAACTATAAATAAAGTAGCTTGGTTGAATTGATGATATATATCCCGATCCCGTTCAACAATAACTCGAGTATGCATTATTCTTGTTTTGTGTTGGTGACCCATATTTCAGTGGAGAAGATTTCATTTCATATTTAATAAAAAACCAACCAAATTTATTGTTGGTTGATTGAAAGCAGAACACATTAACTGAATTTATTACTCTTGTTCAGCATTCTGGAATGAGCAATTAGAACTCTAAATAAAAGAGTAGTCCAATTACAGAAACACCTTCTTATAAATATTCATAGCATTAAATGGGCTTTCGTGATGTAATAGATGGTCGTTATTTTCCCTTTCTAATTGTTGTAAATCCGATTAATTGAAAAGTATGCTAACATAAAAAGTATACCATCTCACGAAAATATTTTCAGGTGGTTAACGTTCCATTCTATACAACAAAATGAAATTTCCTTGAGCCCAGAGAATTAACTTGCTTACTTAGGGTGTGATTTGAATTTCAGTTTGTCTGTTTCTTGTTAGGGTGCGGATGCAAACGCACTTGAGTATATTAAAATCATAGAAGGGTGGAACAATAAGAACCGGTGAAAGTGGAGTAAATTAAAGACCGCAGAGATAATAATATTGTTTTGTCGTAGACCTCTCTAGACCTGATGTGCATCGGCTTTTGAAATGGAAAACATCTTAACGTTCATATTACAAAACGTCTTCAACTCAAATATAATCGATATGATATCTTCGTATATAAGTTCATTGAACTAGCGGTGGGCATGGGTATTCTCAGATAAGCAATTTCATGTAGAATGCGAATATAAACTGATATACACTGTTCCATTCGAAAAAATGCTATAAACTTGAATCTAAAGGGGTGAAACTCAAAGTAACATTCAAAGCACTCAGCATTGAATAATTGATCATTAGTGCATCACATATCACTTGGTTGTTCTCTTCATTCCTCCATATTCTCAAAGAAATCAATTAGTTGCCGTTGCAATAGACCATTTCAAAGACAAAAATGAATGAAATCGTAGTCTAAGAAGCATATTCATATAATAATATTTGTATACTTCTGTACGATTAGAACTCTTTCCAATGCGTGAATTTTCTAATGCCGTATAACTTTCATATATGATCTTTGTTGACATTTTTCAACATTATCTAATAACGAGCCAATATGAATTGTTGGTACACCCATCATATCTTTTATTCATTATGAATTATATATAGTGTTACATCTATTCAAATCATTTGAACTCAATGGTTGACAATGTTTCATGGTGCATTACATTAGTTCGGACATCCATTGTCTAAAATGATTTAAAATATCTGAAATTTCAATTCATGATGAAATCAAGATTATCAATCGATGTTGATGTTGTGAAAAACCAATTACTCATCCAGAGGCCTAGGGCCTAAATCTTCACTGATGGAAATCATCGATAGAAACTGATGTAATTCTCAACTATCTACCTACTGTCACTATCAACTAAGACAATATTCCCCCAAGTGTCAAGTTGTGTCATTCTAATGTCAATTCGTATTGGAAAAAGATACCCATTACTCGATAATTACCCATAACTCGAAAATTCATTACAGTTCCTTAAGCGGATTGAAAAATAGGCCTCGTGAAGTGCATACAAAGAACATTAACTCGAATTAAAGGAGTTATATTTTTTAGGAGTGATTAATTTTTGGGAAAGAAAGTTTTTGGCTTTCTACTACTCCATCTTGATACAAAAAAAGAGAAAGATGAGGGAGTCTTCCAAAGAAAGGAAGGAAGTAACTCTGTACATGGATGTGTAGATCATGCATAGATCATCCTCCTGAAACAGGAATAGAACGAATAATAATTAGAACGAATAATAACCTAAGTAAATTTATTAAAAACAATAAGGACAGATCAGGAGTATATAAGCTGACTTGTGGCTCTTGTCCAAAACTGTATATTGGCCAAACAGGAAGAACATTTTTCCAACGAATTAAAGAACATAGGAGTAGTTTTGTAAATAGAAAGACCAATTCCACATTTGCAAACCATCTTTTAGCAGAAGGACACGAGTTCAATCATGAGTACGAGGTGTTACATTTAGAAGAGNAATTTTTTTGTTGAAACAGATACCTCATTGGACAATGAGGAAGATTTTTTTCATATGCATAATAAGAAAATTGGTATTGATGAAAACCCTACACAGATATCGATGAAGGTGGAAAATAAGTGGACTACGTTCGAAGTCGATACCGGTTTTGCATTTTCTGCTATATCTGAGGAATTATATAAAAAAAAATTTGCGAATATAAAATTACATGCCACTGACCTTCATCTACGAGATTATGTAGGGTATTCATTTTCGCCAGTGGGAAAACTTCATTTGAATTTTCAATACTATGATAAAGTAGGAGTATTAGAAACATATGTGATTGAAGGGGGTGTCCCTCCTTTAATGGTAGAAACGGTTTAAAAAAGTTGAATTTGGGAATTGTACGTTTGAATTCGATTGGCTGTGATGGCAAACTGACAACCCTTTGCGAAAAATATTCAGAAATTTTCAATAATGATTTAGGTTTATTAAAAAACTT